AATTAAAATGAGTTAATAAGTAAACATTTTCTACAGTGAATTTCATATATCAGTTCAACAGCTTATGTTATGATGAGACTGTTTTTTGTTTTCATTGAAGGTTGAGACCGCTGAAAAGAAACAGACAAAAATCATTATTTTAGAGAGGCATTACAGATATTCAATTTGTTTAAATCTACCTTGTTATTGCATGCTAATTACTAGTTTATCTTAGATTAATAGTTCTTCAAAAGAACATGGGATTTTTGACTTATTATTTTAAAAGGTAATGGGACCCTATTAGTGGAAAGTGGCACAATGTAAACATGTTTTCTCATGCTCTTGCAGACAGAGTGTCAGAGGGACTTCAGAGCATTGAATATTCTATGCTGCGTCTCATGGAGTGTTTGTCTTTGTAGTGAGCGGTAGTAAAGGACACATTCTTCAGTTCCTCTGCTGTAGTTTATGCAGCTTCAGTAAGGAGTCTAACAGATAGATGTACTGAATCATCGCCTATTAGTTCAATATTTATGTAAACTATGTTTTACCATTTGTTTGGCATATCTTTAGTATTTGGTACATTTGTTTTGTTGTTTGTAAATTTTAGGTGTGTTTATATTTGTTTTATGCCTCTATAACTAATTCATTATTTTAAGTATGCATTAAATGTATGTTTAATTTCATATGTGTTGTGAAAAATATAAATCAACATTTGTAGACAGAAATAAAGGCCTGAGTTTGTGGTGTCGTGTGGTCAGAATGCAGTGTGTGTGTGTGCTGGCGGGTGTTGTTCTAAGCACACCCCATTAGCAGCTCATGGGAGGAGGTGAAACAGTGTTATCAGAGGCAGGTCTGATAATCTCAATTGGCTTTACTCACACTGATAAAATGCTCTCTGGGCTGCAGCACTGCTGGGCTGCTCCTGCAGGGTTACTGTGGCAACAGTTTGGAGAGGCAAAACAGACACTGTGAGAGAGTGAGTGCGTGCGTGTGTGTGTGTGTGTGTGTGTGTGTGTGTGTGTAGAATAGAAACTGTATGAATAGAAAGTTCAAAAGAAAATCATTTATTTGAAATAGAAATATTTTGTTACATTATAAATGTCTTTTAATGCATCTTTGCTGAATAAAAGTATTAATTTATCTTTCTCTTAAAAAAAAAAAAAAATTGGAAGTTTACTGTCATTATACACAAATATTTGACCACAGGGTAACATGACGGACACATGGATCACAATAGTAAATTACTGCTGTTTATTTAATAAATGTGTGAGTGTGTGATGAATGGTGCAGGTGTGTGTTCGTGTGACAGATGATCTCGATACCCACACACCATGTATTTAAACTTCTGTCACTCAGTTATATCTGCTATCTGAGTGCCGGTTGCTCAGTACTAGTGCTCCTTTAGCAGCTGTCCTGTCTTTCAGACAAAGAAAGCAAAGTTATTCCTCTTTTCCCAGCTGTGCGTGCAGTGAACTTCAGCATGTCATTGTGAAAGCACAGATTGCGGGCGTTTAAGTTAATGGAAGGTAAGAGCATGTACGACGGCTTCAGGAGAGATTAGAGCTCAAATTGATTCCAGTCCTGCTTGTATCTAATGACCGGTCCCATAGAGTCGCCCTGTGTGCGCTCGCCCGCTTCTTTCATGCAGGATAGCCCCAGCATGATCCGAACCCTCGCTCTAATATCAAATACATGTGGGCGCCTTTAACGCTCGCTCCTTTAGTACGGGTCTCTCCCGGCGCGGAGCGGCCGTTTGCCTTTGACACGGCCCATTCCGCATTAAAACGGTTCCCTGGGCTGGCACTGACCTCCCGATGACCCCAGCGGCCCGGCGCTCAAAAGCTGCAGGAGAGGTTTTGTGGAGCTGCTCTTATTTGCCGCCGTGCTGGTGATAAAACTTCAGACAGGCTAATTGATGGCCTCTCTGACATAACAATAGCTGCTGAAAGCCTGGAGCTCATTTACAGACAGCTGGAGAGGAGAGAGACCCCTGCCACGGGCCCTTACCAGGGGGCAGGGGACCCACTCAAAGGGCCGTTTGTATCGCAAACTTCGGGCTCCTTCTGAACGCCTTGTGAGCGCTAACACATGAAGAATAATGTTTGTGCAAGCATGCGTGAGGCGCGGGTTCTCAGTCTGAGTTGCTTGTTTGATGAAGTTTCTCTAGAAGAGTATAGAGCTTTAAAATGAACCTGGAGAACAGCTCAGATCATTTGAAGAGAAATGGTTGTGATCTCTCTTGGCAGATCTGAGCGTGTTGTTGAGATCTCATGTGAGATTATGTTTTGAGAAGCAGGAGACTTCTCCACTTATCTGATTGTTGTCTTGGAGAAACCATTCCAGATCTCATTTGTGTTTTGTCTTTCTACAGGCAGCGCTTTGATAAACTACTCAGACACTTTCATTTATTAAAATCAGAGAATCAGATTCTCAAATTCATCAAATACGAACCTTCCTGAACTCCTGAGTTTGAGCGTGTATGTTGTTTTCTGGTTTATCTGGACTGGCAGTACTCGAGTAGACGAGACGAGTCCATCTCAAGTCCAAGACCATATCTTTTATGATTGGCCAAGACCAGCTAATTCGAATCCAACTCCAGGCCGAGTCTAAATGCTCCAGAATTGATCTTCAAGTAGTACAGTACTGCTAAATGCTAATGCTACTAATACTAAGTGTTTAATATCAGCCACATGTTGGGTTTGTGATGGCAGGTGATGTAATGGGTCTTGTGTTTCTCCTGTGTTTGCAGGTTCATTAATGCCAGAAGAAGAATAGTGCAGCCCATGATTGACCAGTCAAATCGAGCAGGTAAACACCATCTCATCTTCTCTGATGTTCTCAACACTGTTTGTGTCTCACTTGAGAGTCCTTGAGCACGTCTCTCCCGTGTCTACGCTCCAATGAGAGCAGATTGAATCTAATTGGATGTTTCTCCATCTCGCTGGTTAGAGGGACATTAGCGCATCTCAATGCTAATTGGCCACAAGAGAACTTTACAGTAATTCGGGAGCGTTTCACCGTTTCCCTTTGCGTTATGGTACATTAGAAAGCGATTTGCAATAAGCATTCATGAATTCACACCAGAAACATAAGGGAAATTCTGTAGTTTTTGAGTTATTGATGGCTTTCTGAAGTTGTGATGATTTGAGTAAGAGATTGCACAAATTAATTTATTAGGATTTCCGCAGTGAGGATAAACAGTAAGCATCTAAATGAAATGTACAGGTCATATAGCAGTGGTGTTTTTACTGATGAATGTAGATGCAGATCTTCATGCACAGTTCCAGTGACAGCTTTAGTACCAGTGTGTGGTTTCTAGATCTCTGACACGCTATGATCTCCTGAACCCAAGACCAGTGAAGCAAGTCAAGAGATAGACATCATTCAGTGCTGCTGGACAGTTATGTTGACGTAACCTTCTCTTGTCCTGTTGATGCGTACGTTGGAGAATGGCGTGTGTGTGTGTGTGTGTGTGGCTGATTTAGTTTGGGCTGCTGCTGGGATAATCGCTGATTGTTTGGTGTGTCTTCTCTCTTCTTCCCCTGGTGTCCACGTTTGACTTCACTCAGGTTTTCTTCTTGATCCTTCAGTGAGCCAGGGAGCGGCGTACAGTCCGGAGGGGCAGCCCATGGGCAGCTTCGTGCTGGACGGACAGCAACACATGGGCATCCGGCCGGCAGGTGAGATGCAGTCACCTCTGAGATCTCTTCAACATCTCCTCTGGTTCTTTTAGACCAGGGGTGTCCAATTATGCTCAGGAAAGGCCAATGTCACAACCTGTCCTGCCTGGAGGTTTCTAGTAATCCTGATGACCTTGACTAGCTGGTTAAGGTGTGTTTGATCAGGGTTGGAGCTGAACTCTGCAGGACAGTTGACCTCCAGGAGCAGGATTGGACACTCTTAGTAAATTGGGGCCTCCTGGTTCTTAAATGTTTCTCTTCCAGTAATCTCAGGTGTCTAGCATAGAGTGAGACTCAGGAGAGAAAATATCTCCGACTGCTCAGACGTCTGCAATCAAAAGACTCCTCTCTCTTCAGATGAACAAATGATCTCGGCTGCTATCCATATCAATTTTAACTAAAGTTTAGGAAGACAAAATCATAAACTCCTTACCTGAGCGACCTCTGAGCAGGACCTTGTTGTCATTTTGCTCTTCTCTTGTGTGTTTGGGACGTTGGGCTCTGCTGGGCACTGACTGTCTGTGCTGTTTGTCTCTGCAGGTCCTATGAGTGGCATGGGCATGAATATGGGCATGGATGGCCAGTGGCACTACATGTAACGGCTGTACAGTAAAGAAAAGGGGGAAGTAAGTACACTGGGACTCTTCCTCCGCCTTTCTTTCAAGAGTCTTTCCTGTCCGTTTCCTGTCAGAATTCCCCTGAAAGCCCAAAATAACACCACAGACGCTCTGCTTTACGGCCGGCCTGTGATTACTGAATATCAGGGCAGCAGAACGAGTCAGGTGAGACGCGGGTCGAGCGATGTTTCCTGGACGGCCTGGAACAAAAACAAGGCAGAAAAGCACTAAAGTGGGATTTATTTATCGCTGCAGCGGCGCCGCGCTCCACGTCTCATGCAGCCAATGCAAATGTTGGACATTTGGGGGGAAAAAAATGGCATCTCCTGGGGTAGAATATGACGGGGTGAAATTAAGCGGGCTCCAGTGAAGCGATAAAAAAGGAGAAGTGAAACTGTCCTCAGAGTGACATAAATCCGTCAGGGGAAGGATTGATGCCCAAATTATCTTATATGCAAAGACGGGAGCAGTGCAGTACATTACGCTCCCGGAGAGAGATATAGAGACGGCGGGTGACATGGCCATCCTTCACCGGGGGAAGCCGCGTGTCTTCTCTTTTTTACTGGGAACGGAGGGAGATGGAATGGGAATATCTGCAGATGTGGGAGAGCGTGGGCTATGGGAGGACGGCATTAAAGAACGACCGCATGTAAACGCAGAGATCTCCTCGTCTGATTAAGACGCCCATTACGCTGCCTGCCGGCGCCGCGCCACTGACATTTGAGAAATCAAGACGTATGGCGTCCCAAAGGTGGCAGGGCAGAGAAGATTTTATTTAACACCTCTACTTCCTGCTCAATGAGCCTCAATGTAATAACACTTTGCTTGATTAAAAGAACCCTTTATATGTAAATAGACGGCAGTTTCCTGTAGGTCACCATAGCGATGCTGCGACGAAGCCCCCGCCTCGTTAATAGACTCAGAAACGTGGCGAGTGTGTTCCCTAAAACAGCCGCAGAGATAACATTTGCTCAGCTTGGGTAATTTTTAATACAGTGCGGGATAATTTTGAGACTGTTTAATTACGTAACATATTTTATGCGTCATGAGCAATTAGATTAATAGCTTAATACAGAGGAATATTAGCCATCTCTGATTCGATTACGCACACACACAATATGCCGTATTTGCTGTTTAATTATGATCGGCGATGGAGCACGCTTAGAGAGGTGTGCTGTTACTAAAAGATGCAGATGACGGCGGTTTACAGCGTCACACACGTCTGCTGCAAATTTAAAGGGAAGAGCTGCAGGTTATGTTGCAGCTTCTGCCCGAGATTTTAACGGATCGCTTTGCATGTCTGATGAATGTGTGGAGAATGCGTGCAGTTTCCTCTCAAATACTTGGCCTGTGCTGTTCTTTAATTGCGACATACAGTGTTATAGGAATGGGCAGTGAGTGCCTGATGACCTTGGAGTGACCCCGTCCCCCTCCTTTAAATGACTGTTTTTAATGCCCCTGGGGTCACGTTACAAAGCACTGGTGTCCTGCATGTCAATTCCAGTTCTGTGAACTGTTCGGCTTCAGCAGCTCAGTGCTACAAATGCATTTCACCAGCACTGATTCTACACACGCATCTGTCCTCACAGTTTTCTTTATGGTCTACGGCTCAATGTAAGATCTTGTCCTGTATTATAAGCAGATATTGCGCTGTTCCCTGAGCGGTGTGTTGTTAGCCAGCCCCTAAATAATTTAGCAAGTTGGTAACGGAACTTAAATCAAATCTGTATGCAGCGGCGCAGCTTGTTCTGTCACTCAATTTCGTCTGGGATTCGACCGCTCTGAACGCTGATAATTTTAGTATTATGAGGTTTCCACAAGATCATATCACTTCTCTGCATTGCGCCCGCAACGCCAAGGTCATGGGTTCGATTCCCAGAGAAGGTAAAATGCATGCATTGTTCTGCTGCGTGATTGAAGATGGATAAGTGAAATGAATGCTACATCTAGGTGTCTTCTAACACGCGTGCACAAGTCGATGCACCGAGCAGAGATGCAGGCCGTTATTAAACGTCTCTGCTCAAGTGTGCTCTTTGTTTGAAATATCTTTAGCCGCATTGGCTGCAGACGCGTGGCCTGAATCTAGATCAGGGCGCTGCGATCGCATTCGTCTTGCACCGCTGACTGTGTGTTTCTCTGAATCTCAGGTCTGCGAGGCATGCCGGGGGAGTTCGTACCTCAACGTGGTCCTGTGGGCATGAGCATGGCATCACCGACCCACCCCCCTCCACCGAAAGCCCCTCGTCTCTTGTGTTTGTCACACCGAGCTCCTCGTCACCCTCCGACCCGTTCGGCCATGCTAATGCACGGAGACCCCCCCTCGAGAAGAAATGACCACGACTCCTCTGACCCCCTGACCACAGCGCTGCTGGACCGGCGTGGGCGTCCACAGCCAATGACCGAAGGGAACCAACCAATACCACCACGGATGAACTGGACAATAACCCCACGAAAGATTTTTGAAGGAAAAGAGAATGCGGTGAAGTATCCGAAGCTTCACGTGGAATTTCAGACGAGCTGTGATCGTTTTTTATCTTGTGAATTTTGTTACTTTTGTTGCTGGAGGACCAAGAGCTGACAGAAACACTTTGTAAAGTCTTGGGTGTCTGTTCAAATCAACAGAGGATGTTTCAACTTATTAAAAATACACACACACACACACACATCATGATAAAGAAAAACAAAAGAAAAAAAAGACAAAGACTCCAAGAGTTCAAACTACTGTAATATAAAAGCATAGAAACTAAATTAAATCTTGTACATTTTTATCATCACTCACTTTATGTTTCATGAGCTAGTCCTAGAGTAAATCGTTGGCCTGTTTTTCACACTGTGTGTGCGGATCCCCAAAGCAGAGGAGCTCGATCGCGGCAATAACGGGAGGCCGGTGAATCCGCCCCGTCACGGACCACAGCACCGACTGAAGCCCGCTCTCTTCACGAGACCCCTCCTCTTTTTCCGTCATGCATTTTCCCTTTTTGGTCCATGAATGAATGTTGCCCTGTAGGTGAAGTTCTTTGTTTGAATTGCCCAAGCACTGGATTGTGTTGCTTTTATACGTTTTTGTTTTTATTATTATTATTATTATTATTATTATTATTAATTTTGTATCTCGGACTCTCAGAGTAAGAGCCTTATGAAGGACGTGTATCCTTGAGAAAAACCACCGTCCTGCAGCAGTGGGATCAATGTATTATCTGAGAAATACATTCAATACTTGTATGAGGACTGTGGCTTGATGTTTCAAAGGTGTTCAGTCACAAATGCTGTAATAAATATTTCATTTTTGATTTTGGTATTCTTGTGTGCTGTACAGTGTGTCGCACATGGAAATAATATCAAATCTGTAATACATAATAGCTCATATTTAATGCATTATTCTTGTTTAATAAGCTTACAAAGAATTCGGACAGTTTTTCAGCAGCCTATAAAGGATCGTGGCGTGTTAATGTTCTCTAAATCCGATCCTGCACTGAAGATGTTTGCTTTTGACACAGGAGCTTCCGCTGGCTTACAGCTGCTGGGGCAGATTGGGGTTTAAGGGGGCAAATGGGCAGGGTTCGTCGCATAGACTGTATAAAAACAGCCATGAGCTGAGCTGAGTGAGACTGACGGGGTTCGAGTCTCCGCGGCGCCTCCTGCTGGCGCCTCGTTCACACTACACCCGCTGCGCCACGGCACAGCATTACTAATATTATTGTTACAAACAGCAGTTATACACACTAGTAAAATGATGAATGGCGATTACAGTAACGAGGACGCTCACTTGCGCAATAAAAGCAACGAATAAAACGCGCTAAACATTAAAACTCTTTTCCAGGAAAATGTGAAAAACATATTCACAGGCAAATGTTTCAAGAGCTTGATGTGAAAGTTAGTCTTTCTTCATTACTTGAATGTTTAATATGTTTTTCTGAATATGTACTGAAGGCGCTGAACGTCTCATTTTAACGCTCGATGCATAAAAGAGAACAGACGTGTTTATTTCCCCAAAGCAGGAGGCTTTTAATTATTTGTAAAAAGCCGAATTACAGTAGGCTATTAATAATTTAAAATGATACCAGCGGTAATTATTAATTTACAAAATAATAGCATTCGAAAATATATCACTGCAAGTAAATATCCAGCAGTCTGCAGTCGCGTGGAGAGATTTCATCGCCAAATTAAACATCTCCTCAAACATAGCAGATCTATATGAATATAAAAAATAAAGAGCTGCGTTTTGCGCTGTTTTCATTAGCGTTGTGCAAGTTATTATGGGCAATTTAATTCTTTACATTTATTGTGTGTATTTAAGTGTAGGCTATTTATTCACCAAGAATCACAAACGAACAAATATAGTTTTAATGTCTGTTCATTCGAGAAAATTGACGTGCGAATAATTCATTTTGAAATTCTAAAATATATGCTGAAAGAACAAGAAAGGAGGAGAAGTGAAAGGAAGGGCGGCATCATTGTGAGCTGATTTGAATATTAATAGGGGACAGGAGGTGGATTGAACTGCGCCTGTGACAGGAATGATGGATGATCCGGCCTTCATCATCATCATCATCATCGTCGTCGTCATGTCAGTCACGGGAATGAATGAAAGAACACACAGAAGCAGACGAACTGTTCGCAGTAAACAGGAGAAAACGAGCAGGTGAAGTCTTCAGCAGTGATCGGGTCGTTTCTCACACACCGCCGAGGAACCCGACTCTTGATTAGATCACATATAAAGCAGAGAACGTGTTCCAGCTGAAGCGGCGTGTGTGTGTGTGTGTGTGTGAGAGTGTGTGTGTGTGTGTGCGAGTGTGTGTGCGCGAGTGTATGTGAATGTGTGCGCGCGCGTGTGTGTGTATGAGCATGCGCGAGTGTGTGTGTGTGTGTGCATGTGTGA